AGGGTAAATGCCATGGGAAAGCTGCACAAATATTTGGGGAGACCCGCTTGGGTTTGTGCATGAGCACAGAGCCCATGGATAGAGAGATGAGAGACAGGCCCCAGCTGGGCCATAGTAGACAGCAGAAGGGTTTCCACAGGACGCAGAGAGATAATCGCAACGGTTTAAAGCCTAATGCAGCCTGAGAGATTGAGGGGGAAGAAAGTACAAGAGAGTATATTTGTTTCTGAGGATGAATGGATGGAAGAATGAATGAATACCTGCCAACAGTTAAGTTACTCTTTAACTTTCTTAAAGCCCCAAACAAAAGAGCATTTTCTTTTTTGCTATTGGACATTTTTACTAAAACCACTACTTGATTTCATGTCATTTTCTATTACGAAATGTGGATATTTTGTCTTTATTCGACAACTGTATGCACCTCCACATAATAAATAAAGAATTAAAAAATAAATAAAAGTGAAATTATATTTGAAATATAAGTACACATTTAATGCATGAAAAATGTGTGCATGCTTATGTACAACTTGTGTGTAAACTGCATAATTAAATGTGAGCACAGAAAGCAGCCATATTGTGTATATATAGAAGACCTCCTGAAATGGTCTACATTGTAATGAAATACTATAGCAAGAAATAAATGTCAATTTCTCACTGTAATACTGGCATTATTAACCACCCCCCACCCAAAAAAACACAACAGCTATGCTGTGGAGAAAAGGTACCTATATCAAGACAGCAGTGATTGGTTGTAGCCAAGAGTGGCGCCAGTAGCTTAGCTCACACTGATATCTTATTGGCTGAGCCAAGTATGTACTCAGAATACAACTGTGAAGGAAGTCGGTTTGGGAAAAGGGAGTTTGACTAAAGGTACAGCGTTATGCTGCAGAAAGCTGCAAAACTTTATTTAAGAAAACTAATAAGCAGTTGGATGTGAACAAAAACACAGCATGGATAGGAGGCCAGAACATATCAAATGCACTTACCTTATGTTAATGCCAGAGATGGAATGCCCTATAAATTATATAAAATAAATTTGGTGCACGCACTCAGGATTTCTGCAGGAAGGCAGGTTTATTGTAATAAAAACTACCATGTTTCAGCCTACACAGAGGCCTTTATGAACTGTTGCAATTTTGCACCCAAAATGTAACAGTTTTTCCTGCTATATGGGGGGACGGGGAGGGGACGGATAAGAGTCAAATTTGGGGGTAGATTTAGGGTTGGAGTCATGGCAGAAGGGGTAACTGTCCTGGGCCCCATAACTTTTACATTTTTTTTAAAATCATAATCTCTTTCAGAAACATTTGCTATTGTACGGGTTACCATTAATGCCACATTTGGAAAAAATGTCATCTTCTAAAACACGTGAAAAAAAAAATAAAAAAAAAATCATAACCGCAACCAATCAATAACACCATTGAGCATGTGATGAAACATTCTGTGTTCTTGGTGGGACAAAACACGCAGCTGGGCTTGGTTTCTGCTCTGTCTGCCAAGTTTTGGTGCCACCCACTCTAACTTAGCCTTAAATATTCATCACTTTGCAGCTGGCAATAACAAGTGGGAACCTGCTATAGCAATTCCATGTAACTCCAGTGTGAATAGTGGAAATACAATGTAGACAGACAGTTTGTAGTAATTTAGCACGTGGACAGATTCTAGAACAAAAGAAATTTAAGAGATGCCTGTGATTTCTCAATTCAATTCCAGGATGAAGTAGGAGTTTATAAGAAGAGCAACGCTGGTGCAAAGTTTTAAAAGTGAAGTGATTAGCTGAATCTTTTTTGTTTCCAAGATGATTTTTCATAAATTTTTAATGCTGAAACCAGAACTGGTTTTATATATCATATCACATAGGTGGAAATTAGAAAACATTTTATTGTAGAATTTGGAAAAATTGGAGAATAATGGATTACTGCTTTATATATTCTAGTAGTTTGTATAATATTCGATCAGTGATTAGGCTCCAATTCCATCATTTGTTACACTGATTTGGTAAATACGGAGCAATCACTGCTCTACAACTGGAGCACATTTGTATTATTATTTTATTATTTATAAAGCGCCAACAAATTCCGTAGCGCTGTACAATGGGCATCCCTAAATACACATTTACACAGCAGCTATGTGCATTGATGCAGCTTGACGTCTGTTCATAGTAGGACTGTCAGTGAGTGTCTTTTGTAACATGACACTTTGCTCAACATAGAAGTGTAGTGAACCAAAAACTGAATTTTGTGTTAGAGTCACTCCACTGTCCAAATACAAAATGCATTTAAAAAAAAAAAATATCACTGTTTAGTAGATATGCCCACAATAAGCCCATGCATGCTTTTCATTATGCATTTTTATCACGAGGGTTATATCTAAAAACATCTTGCAAGACCAGCTTTTCTCTTGTCTGCAGCCTTTGCAAGCCCTCCCCTTTTAACTCCGCCCAGACTTTCTGTGGCCTTCCATTCACAGACTTCCTTATACAACTCAATGAGAAGTCTTTGCAAGGCAGGTGATCTGAGCAATTGCTGCCTCTTGAGTTTAGCTCTAGTGAGCTAAACAAACCAGGCAAACCAGGAAGTAACAGGACCTGTTGTCTGCTTAAAAGCCAAGGGGGTGTAACCAGGTTCATTTATAAAAGTGTCAAGTTCTATTGAAATCTGCACTTTTTGCAAAATGAAAAATATTTTAAAAAAAGACACAAAGCTTTGCAGTAAGCTGAAGTGCTTAAGAGGTCTGGAGTGTCCCTTTAAAAAGCTGATTTGGAACACACCTGCAGTTGCAGCTTGGCTATTTTACCATAAATTGTGGAAATCAGTGCTTAAATTTGCCTCAATTTGGCATTTAATGAATAATCCCCATGGTTTTTAATGTATGCAGACTGTAAGGTTGAGATTAACATTTATAACGACATAATTATAGAGCTAATAGGTGAGGCTTTTGAACATTATAAATAGTCCTGTTATCATATATTTGAACAGGGTTTGCAGACACATGGCTAGGAGGGGGCATAGAAAAGAGCCATCTGTGGGCAAGATTCTAAAGTGGTGCAATCTACCCCAAGACTGTCCTGTACACATATCTCCTAAGACTCATCTGAGCAAGTGATATCTTTAAGTAGTGCTTATAAGTGTGTCTCAATTGAAGACATCTATATTTCTTGACAAAAAATAAAATAAAAATGGACACTCATTGTTAAATTACAAATAAAAATCCAATTTATTTGTGATTCATATCAAATAATTGGTTCACATTTCACAGCCTAAGAAGATTAAAACGAAATGGAAATTAATTTCACACAGGACACTGCTTCTGCACAGTTGGTCCCTAAAATAATTCTGGTACTGAAACTCTGAAATTTAAGCATACAGAAGGTTTTGTATATAAAGCAATTCTGGGGCAAAGTTTTCAAAGTATAGCAGTCACCATGGAAACCAATGGAACATTCCCACTGATTGTTTCAGTTTTAGACCTTTGCCTCTTTGAACATAGCCGCAGTGGGTGACTGTGTTAGGCTTGTTAACTTCAAATACAGCAAGAGAACTAAACTTCAATTCAGCAGTGGGTAGGCGTTTCAAATGCAGAAGCCCAGAACTGCTCTGTGTGACAACGCTTTTAGATAAAAGTAGGCCTAGAACGGTGATGGCTAACCTTGACACCATAAATAGTTTCTGGACGACAATTCCCATGATGCTCAGCTAGCTTTTATACTCTAAAAGCTAGCTGAGCATAATGGGAAATGTAATCCAGAAACAATTTATGGTGTCATGGTTTGCCATCACTGGCCTAGAATGTGCTTGGAAAAGTAGGCCTGGAATAAGATTCTTTCCTTAAAATCTGGCAAGGCTGATTAGCCCTCAGTCACTTTAACGTCAAAATGTGAATTATCTAGTGTCTGTCTCGCTACTAGATAATATGTCTATGCCCACCATAATTCCAAAACTGAAGATGAGAGAGGTATTTTGACTTTTATATATAATTATACAAAAAACATTTTCTGCATCTTTTTCCAAAATAAAGTTCGGTAACTTTACTTCTGTCGCCATTAATTTGTGCAGCCTTTGTTGAAGATATAATAAATACTGTAAGCACTAGATGAGCCAGTTTAGTCACATATATATATATATGGGTATAACCCAGTAACCCCTGAGATTAAATGTGGAATAGAACAGGATTATTCAGATACAAGATGGCCTCACAGATACAATGAAAAGCAATAGGTTGACCGGGATAGAATGAGCTTGCACAATCTGTTACTAATCCAAAAATAGAAGAGACATTTAACCTGGGGTACATTGCACAATAGTTTATTTTTAATGCCTACGTTTCTACCCATTATGTAGAAGTTGGAAGAGTGACTTATCCAAAAGCTCCTATATCAATAGGTTTGTCTGCGGATTACTAACAATTTTGGTGCAAACTTACAAAAGATATAGTGGTACAAAAAAGTGCTGGGGAAAAAAAAGAAACCACTGGACTGAAAGGTAATTCTCATGAAAAACATATTCCTTCCTTACAATGGTTGGCGCAGTGAAACTTTAAAATGGGCCGTTTTTTAATCTGCATACTGTTATGTGACACCAAATGGCATTTCCATCATTACATTGGAATGTCAGTTGTACAAGTTTTTATCACAATATAGTTGGTTGAATTTACAATTGTAAGGAACACATTGCTTTTATTGAGATGGAGAAAACTCATCTACATTTTACTGTAAAAAAAAAAAAATGGCTTTCTTGCTATATCAAGTCAATTCTTCATTACAATAGAAGTTAAAAACCAGTTATTTCTACGTGACCTCGGTGATCACATGTTTAGCGTGATGTATGTTGCCTGCCCTGCATCACAGAGATCTTGTCATTGGAACCTAGTGGCTTTCTTTGTGAGATGATCAGACAGTTAAGACTATGCCCATGGGGCTCTTACGTCGCAAACACAAGTCCAGTGCCCAATGGCAATATTTGCTCAGTTTTAAAAGCAGCTTGTGTAAAATGCCTTCGACTTCAAGTCGTCTCAAAAGATTCAATAGCATCCATCCAGATTGAAGGTGTGCTCTGTGACTGTTCTAGAATTGGCTTCATCTCTTGAACTTGCTTCTCAAGGGCCTGATTGCGACGATACATTTCAAGGTAACTAACCTGTATCTCCTTTTGGTACCTCAGTACTTTGTCCTTTTCCTCTTTCCAAACTTTTTTCTCAGTCTCAAAGTTCAGGATTTGTGATTCATTCTGACGCCTCTCCAACATCAATTCGGCCTTCAGCCTTTCTACATCCTCTGTGTTGTCTTTTGAGTTTAAGCCAGATTCAGAGCACAGATTGGTACCTTGCGTCTCTAAAGCACGGACTCTAGCGGTGAGCTCCGCAGTCTCCCTCTCTTTCTCTTTCGCAAAGTCCTTTGCATCTCTAAGCTGATTTTTCAAGGAGAAAACTTCCCCTAGCTTTTGGCTAATTTCTGCTTGAGAATCTCGGAGTTGTTGCTTGAGGAGAGAAATCTCACCAGCTTTCTGAGAGATCTGCAGAAGAAAAAAACAGGGCTTAGCAACAGGTATACAACACATGGATTTTAGGAGTTTACACAATCCATTATTAAAAACAGTGTGAAATGTTATTTTCAGGGGGCATTTGCTATCCATGTCAGAAATGCAGATTAGGCCAATTTCTGCTTTTTCCCATAACTTCAGATAAAAAAGTACAGGACTAAATCCAGACGCTACCATCTTACAGTGCAGGAACATATGTGAGGATTTGCACAGCATGGACCAGCCATAGACACACTTGGACTGGCAGAGAGGAAGCATGGACTTCATCCTAGGACTTCTCTCAGTGAGTGGGTGTGCTGACACAAGTAATATTTTGCAAATCAACACTGTTATAAGCAAGTAGGTCCAAGGTGACCGGAAAAGAGGACCTCCTCGTACCATAACATACGCAGAGAGCATTTTGGCATTTTACTCTAAACTGTACAATCCTAAACTCACACATTTTTCCTTTATCACATCCATTCTGGGACACAATTTGATAGAATGCACTTTAAAATAGATTTTCCTGGGAGTTTAGATATGGTTTTTTTACACCTAAATATAGATTTACATTGCTCACTCCGAGGTCAATTTACTACAAACAAAAGAAAAAAAAAAGATTAAATTAAAGATTAATGTAAGAAAAAACAACAACATGTAAAACAACCCCTGCACACAAACCCTAAATGTAATGCAAAATATATGAATAAAAAATATGCAAAAGTGTACCTTTAAAAGTGACTTTTTTTTATATTTTTAACAATTTCGTAGATATATTTCCAAAGATAAGATGCATGTATTTTGTTTCTGCTTGTTTGATTTTTTTTTTTTTTGGTGCGGTTATATGAAACCCCCCCCCCCAAAAAAAAACAGTTTGCAAAAGCTGCACACCTGCTGTCTGTAGCCTTTGCCAGCCCTCTCATTTGTCTCCAGACACAATTTCAGTTTGTGCTGGGGAATACACCAAATTGAAACTTCTCATTGAGAAGCCTCTGTGCTGGATCTGCAAGCAAATATTAATACAGTCAGCGGTATAATGTCCTCCTCTGACGTATGGGAGAAAAGAGACACAGTCTTACTGCTGCAGTGATTCTTGCAAATTGTTGCAGTTGTACGTAACTTTGTTCAAGAAGATGGGAGCAGTGTACCATTTGACATACATTTTTGCGATGGTGCTTGGAAGCAGGGATAGATCAACCAATCCCATTCCTTCTAATGCTCTCAGTGATAGAATTTTCGAATGTATTGTATCAACGAATACTTTGTAACTCCCCTTCACACAAATAAATCCAGGCAAAATACTCATGTACCTTATAGCAGTTTACTCACTCAGATGCCTGAAGTGCCCCTTTAATAATGTATTTAAAAACAAAAACCTCCATGCGATTCTCTAACTCTAAATGAAGAGACATCTAAAATGAAAGATCCTTCCTGGCTATATTAGAATACCTATGCATGTACACACTTCTAACTCGATCCCTTGTATTTTAATATGTCCTAGAGATGCATACCTCCCACTTGGATTCCTCCAGCTTAGGGCTGAGATTTTCTGGTTGCGACTGTTTTTGTCGCAGGTCCTCGCACTCCCCTCTCAGTGAATTCAGTTCCTCTTGAAGACGTTTCTTCTCCTGTTGGACTTTGTACAGCTGCAACTGTAGTGCTCGCTGGCTGCGCAGGGCCTGCTGGGAGATCTGATGCAACTTAGACATGTACATCTGCTTCAATTCATCCAGCTCCTCCATCCAAAGCCGTCGCTTGTCCTCAAACACCTGTTGGGAGTGAAGAAGGTGAGCCAGGAGAAACACAATGCCTGTCCGAACAGAGGGTACACATTCAGCAGAAGGATGGCAAGAGATTTTCAGTCAATATTCTGTGTCAATAATAGCTAAATGGGTATTGATCACTGCAAGAGGGAAAAATAAAATGGCATACACCCACAAAATGACTATGAACTATGCTGAAACAGAAAAATGATATAAAACAAGAAACCTATAATGTGCTAGGGCAATAAGGAGATACATACAAACTGGAGCTGGGTGTCAAGCAGAATCACAGGTCTAATTTGAGAATGTGGATCAAACATTTTAGAAGCAGATTATATATTTTAATCAGTTTAGCCCATCTTATAGAACAAGACTGTTTAACCTGCGGCCCCCCAGATGTTGCTGAACTACAACTCCCATAATTCTGTTGCCGCAGGTTGGACAGGCCTGCTACAGAGAAACAATGGGGGGAGAAAAAAACCCACACACGCACACACACAAAAAAAACATACTGCCTTATCCATTTACACAACACACCGGCTCCAGGTCATTGTAAATCAAAGACTGAGCAAGTATAATAATGTATGCATGCAAAATGTAGCAGTATATGAACAGGCAGAACATCTATACAAATACTTTGTCTGAAGCCAGGTAAAACAAAAACAAACCTGTAGGCATAGCTACCCTATGGATAAATTACTAAATTTACAGTTACTCTAGCACTCTGCTCCATAATCTATCCAAACAGCTCATGGAATTGGAGTACCTTTGGCCGTAGGATGCAATGCCTGCTAAGTGTTGTCACAATTTGCTCCCAGCATTTATCCAATATTTGCAATCCCAGATGATCATTACTTTAAAAGAAAAATAATGAACTAAGCTATTAGAAATCACCCATAAATCTCTTATAGTCCCCAAGACCATAGATACCTTATATTATTTCATAAGGAGTCTGTTATAAGCTCCAGCAGGTCCTGGGGCCGAGACGCCAGAAATGACTCAATACATCTATCGTTACCAAATATGAAGGCAGGATACCCCCCTCCCTCTTACACTAAAGCACTGTTCCTCAACCGTATCATAAAAGCCTTGAAGGTCTTAAAAAAATATATTACCCTTCCAATCCCAAACTTGGGGTTATGGAGTTTATGCAAATCTGGTGAGGGTGCTACAAACCAATTAGTTTTATTTTTGTTAAACCACTAAAAGTTCTTTGACAAAAATTGGACGAACCACAGCCATAGTAGCTTCCTTACACCATAACCATTACAGTAAGCTCTAATGGTCATGGTGCTTTGAATATTACTTTAATGATATAACAATACTTATTCGCAGTAGTATAGTAGAACATTTTTATAAATTTGTATAAAAGTAAAACATTTTCATTTGAAGTTGTCACTATAACAGCTTCTAGGAGATCTGAAGTACAAAGGTTCCACAGTCACTGGTGAGTACTGCGTCTACCTCGTTTGATGGATTGTCTATTTTGTGATTGCAGCTTAATTTAAAGGACCACTATAGTGCCAGGAAAACATACTCATTTTCCTGGCACTATAGTGCCCTGAGGGTGCCCCCACCCTCAGGGTCCCACTCCCGCCCGGCTCTGGAAGGGGGAAAGGGGTAAAAACTTACCTTTTTCCAGCACTGGGCGGAGAGCTCTCCTCCTCCGTTCCGCCCCGTCGGCTGGATGCGCACGCGCGGCAAGAGCTGCGCGCACATTCAGCCGGTCACATAGGAAAGCATTCATAATGCTTTCCTATGGACGCTGGCGTGCTCTCACTGTGAAAATCACAGTGAGAAGCACGCAAGCGCCTCTAGTGGCTGTCCATGAGACAGCCACTAGAAGAAATAGGGGAAGGCTTAACCCATTCATAAACATAGCAGTTTCCCTGAAACTGCTATGTTTATGAAAAAATGGGTTAACCCTAGCTGGACCTGGCACCCAGACCACTTCATTAAGCTGAAGTGGTCTGGGTGCCTAGAGTGGTCCTTTAACTGTAGAACTAGTTATGGCTGGAATCTGTTGAGGGTGTCATAACAGAGTCTAGAAGTGGCACTAAGTGAGGTAGATGTTCTGGCATAGTTTTGATGTGAAATACTGCACAGACATCAAGATTACCTCAGTAGTGATGCCAATTGTAATTTACTTCTATATTCCTTTAAGGAAATAAACAAACAAACCCCAAAACAGGTTTTCTGCTCCATCGTATTTTCAAACTGTGAAATAAACCCTAGCGCATTGTTATATATTAGTTTGTGTGGGAGAGATCAAAGTAAGTCAAATGACATGTTTATTAAGCCCAAACACAGAAAAAGATCAAATAAAAGTTTTTTTCCAGTCTGCACATAGGGGCCGAGAGTGTATGCTTACAAATATACTAAAATACTGTAGTGTATCCATATTGGTTATTTTAATGGATCACTACATGCATAAGGACCACTTAATCTCTATGTAGTGGTCCTGTCATTTTAATCTTGCAATGTAAAATATGGTTGCTTTGTAGAAATTCCAATGTTTAAAACAAAACTATAGAAGTGCTTTTGCTACACTGACCAAGTAAAATTCAGTCACGTGATGCAGCAGCTCATAGGAAAGCACTGAATTCCTATGAGAAGCATTGAATGCATGAGGCGTTCGTCACACATGCGCATTAGGTCCCCATTGCTGTCTAGGAGCAACATTGGATTGGACCACAGATGGAGGAAGAGACGCCTCCTCAATGACATCTCAGGAGGCAGAGAGGTGAGTCTTGCAGTTGGAAAAAGTAAGTAAAAACACTAGCGATTTTTAAGACAAATGGGGAAGAGGGGAGGGGGGTATGGGATCATAGATCTATGTGTGCACTCACCTGGGCAAAGGGGTCATCATTGTCACTTGGGTTTCTCCTCAACTGCCTCAATTCTACTCCTTTCTCATGTAGTTTCTCCTCCAGTTGTCGAGTCACATCCTCAACAGACAGAGAATACTCGTAGGGTGGTGGGGGCTCTCCTGAACACTGTAGTCTGCTTAGAGTGGCCATGCTCTTGCATGACAACGTGGTCTTCTCACCAGATGTCATATCTCTAGCCACTCGCGAAGCTCTGTCCAAGGATCCTCCTATGTGGTTGATGTGCCCCATTGAAGCACTTATCTGACCTCTAGCTACAGTGAATGCAGGACTGTATGTGTTAAAGCTGTTGATGGAGTTTTGTCTTGAGTCAGACAGGCTATCATGCTCCTCTTCCTCGTGTTCTTTTTCATGGTAATTTATATAGTGATTGTTTGTCTTTAAAGGCCCATGGCGAGGTGGGGTGCTCACACTACCAAGAGTGTTCAGACTGCCGTTACTTTTGGATAATTTGTGGCCACCAGATGAACACAAGCTTTGCATAGATGTGAAGTTCTTCCCGTTTGATGGCTTTAAAGCAGACGGTCCAAAGCGAGACTGCAAAGAAAAGACTTAAAGGTCAACTTTTTATTTTAATTTTGAATGATGCAGGAGGTTTACATTTAGCTCCACTAAATAATGATTTATTTGTCAGAAAACACTAGTTCAGACTTCTTCTGTATCACGTTTTTCTGACACATAAGATCCCTTGCTTAATTGAAGCTATTTACCATAATCAAACATCTACATAACAATAGCAGTGTAATAACATCCCGAGAGATAGTTTGTATCAGTTTCAAACGGCTTCAATAAACTTCAATAAAGTAAGGTTTTAGAAAAAAATAAAAAATATTATATATATATATATATATATATATATACACACACACACCCCAACAACAAATACCTCTGAAATCAATTTTCTAAAAAACAATTCTGTAAAGCAACAGACCAAAAAATAAATAAAAAAAATGTAATAATTAATATTTTCAATATTACTGTGAAATGAAAGATGCTGCACTAATTCAAGTGGCTCTGTGTCACCTTCTGGTTTCTTTGCATATTTTGCAAAGAACCCTCCCTTATAATGACATCACCCCTTGTGCGGTGGCCTGGGATTGCAACAGAAGTGGGTTATACTTACCCAAAACTGTCTCCCACCACCATCTTCAGTTCCGGGTGCTTTATCTGCCAGGAGTCCATGACAGTGCTGTTCTCTCACCCATGCATGGTAGTACAACCCTGATGTATATGGAGGCTCCTGCAATAGCCTCCACACATCTCTCATGAGGACTAAAATAAAGCCTTATTCCCAGAGCCGTCGATAACGGCAATTGTGAAATATAACAAAACCTGAAAGTGGTAGCTCCACCTTTTGTCAAGTTTTGGCTCCTTGAGAATGTAATCCTTGTGCATGTATGGGAAGATCTGCAGAAGATTTTAAAAGATCCTCCATTGACCTCCATTTCGTACTCTGGACCATATGTGAGCGCACAAAGGAGATGGGAGGAATTTAAGAAGAATGACGGTGACACCAAGAACTTGAGGTCACATCCTTTCTTTCTCTAGGTGCCACCATTAGAGTATTCATTTTTTTGTAAAAGTTAGGTATTATGTGAATTGGTTATCATTAAAGTCTAATCTGGATAGGATGTGATCATTTAATGAATGTGTGTGTGCGCACGCGTGTGTGTTGAAGAACACACTGCCATCAATCATATGATAAGAGTAGGCTGATGGTAATTTCACTTGTGCAGTGGATTCAAGTATGTTGGTGCAATAGCATTGTAAACGATAATGCAATAACCAGATCACCTGGTTCACCATTGTGGTTTTAAAACAAAAGGTACTGACCTTTTCAAAGTGTCCTCTTTCGGGGAGTGAGGTCTTACTAAAATCTGTTCCTCTGCGATCTTTATGGTACAAGACGGGGAATTCATTCTCCCCACCCTCCACACTATGCTCCCTTCTGAACCCCAGCCCTGTGGGGAACTTCTTTGAGCTTTTCCCATCCTTCTTAGTAATATGCAGATAGCTCAGAAACTCTCGCTGCTGCAGCCCTTTTTTCAGGAAGTTTCCTGGGCCGTGGGAATTTGGAATCGGTCGGAAATCTAACTTGAAGTCATCAGGCGACAAGTCGTGCTTCTCAATAAGACTGCTCACGCTGCCCATGTCACATTTATAAGAGACAGAGTCAGGGGTGAAAGATTGGAATCCGGGGTGGCTCCCAGTGTTAGAAGATAGACTGTATGTCTGTGCAGCTGCCATGAAGAATTAACGGGAGTCTTGGAAACTCTGCAAAACAAAACAAAAACATGATTAATATATAGACAGACCACCTGTCCTGTAATAACTGTATAAAACCAAGCGGTCACATACAAGAGTCATTTGGCATTTCAACAATATGGTACCAAGTTTAATCCATATTAAATCTACTCCCAAAATACAAAATGGGGTTTTCCTCTTCCCATAATCTTATTACGCTTACTAAATTAAAATATAATGGGTAAAAGAGTGTGGGCAAGAGTGAAGACCACAAAAATAAAGCCACGTTACAGAGCAGAAAAAAATACATGAAGCGAATTCGACAAAAATTGAGTAAAGTTTTTAAGCAAAATTACTTATTTATCCATCTACGGAAGACATAGCAATGTTTCGACCTAGTGAGTCTCTGTCAAGCTAGATAGGATTTACAGAGACCTTGGAAAGACCACTGAATGCACCCAGACAATTGTGTGGTCTGAGTGCAGTGGCCCTATAGTTTTAACCCTGTAATGTGAAACATTAATGTTTTGTAGAAACCGCAATGTTTAGATTACAGGGTTAAAACACCTCTACTAGCAGTCTTGTAGACAGCCACTAGAGGCGCTTCCTCTGGAACAACAGAGTAAAAACGCCGTCATGAATTCAATGCTTTCCTAAGGGAATGATTTGATTGTGCACATGCTTAAAAACCTTTTTTTTTTAAATGTATTTATTTATTTTTACAGGTAAAAAGGGGGGAAGGGTCTCTGAATATAAATATGCACTGGAACATAACGTTAGGAATACAGATTAGTGTTCCTAATGCTATTGTCTCCTAGCGCATCTTTAGATGGAACGCAAGTTTGTATTCCTAGTGTTCCTTTCACCAGGCTCAAACATTTGCAGAGTCCCTCAGCTTTGTATTCGAAAATATAGTTCCCAAAACAATATGCAATTTCACATTAAATTGTGTGAATGTAAGAATTCAACAAATAATATTTACCAACAATCGTTTCTGCTCCTAATGTGCTGTGCTTTTAATTTAATTTATTGTAGAGTGTGCCTATAGGAATTAGGCTAACGCCAATGTTCTAACTGGTACCCTTTAATATCACTCTCTACATTCTCATCACATTTCTTGTCTGTAAAACACACTGCCAAATTTAATCAGCGCACATCTAACATCTGCTCAGGCTTTATTTTAATCTGATTGAATAACTAGTTTTGTCAAGTTGTGACGCACAAGCATTCCTGATCACTTTCAAAATATCGCTGCACAGTCCCACCAATCTGCTGAGCCAGCGTACATACACTGTCATACTCTCTGTTTAGTCATAGTATTGTCCTCGTTCTAAATTTGTCTTTCACATTCGATATAAGCATGGGTTTTGGCATTCTTTAACAACTGTTTCAGTAATTTGCCCTAAGAGGAAGAAATGTAAACGTAACCGGAAACAGATGTTTTTATTCCAGTACCAGACAGCACCCTGCAGGCCCGCAGTCAGGGGTGGAAGGAGAGGCAGCGTGTGGGACCATACACACTTTACTTAAACTCTGTTCCTGGTTATACTAATATCCATCTTTACTTCATTAGTATACCTCCTAATGTAGTGATGCTTCTTCTAGAATTTTGTGAACTGTATTTTCAGGGTTGATTAGCGTGCACTAGGCTGACTGAAAATCATACGTAATGTAGTTCACAAATTTAAAATATTTTTTTTTCTTCAATCGACTTTCATAGTTAATAAGTAATTATTAACAGGTCATGATATCACCTAAAATATTTGGCCACGTCACATCACACTCCTAATGAATATGTGCCCCATATTAAGGAAACAGATTGGTTTAAAAAAAAAAAGTTCAAATAACAGTAGATGAAACAGGTACTGTGTTTATGTGCAACACCAGTCCACTGGATGACATCTATTGTGTGTTGCTTATTAAACACCTATTCACTCATACATTTAATTTCCTTTATGCTGCAGATTTGATCTTTTGCAAAACATAGAGCTGTATGTATTTTTTTTTATTTTTTTGAAAAAGAGAGGGAACGATTCGGTTGTGACTTATTATGACATTGTGACATTATTGTCTTATTTGTTATCTAAAAACAAAGTTTGCTGTGTGAATAAAAAAAAAATGATAATACTAGTAATAGCATGTCCCCAGTGAAAGGTTAGAATTCTTCAATACCGTAATAAGATTAAATCGTGAAGTCTTCTGTTAGTCTTTAATGAAGTCTAAGATCTTGCAGATACAAGGCTTATACAGTCTGCCAAGCCTCTGGTCACCCTGACCACAATGACAATGGTGCAGTCTGGACAGATCAAATTATGACACTTTTGTCACTACGGTTACAGTTTTTTTCTTTAAATTGAAAAGCTTAGTAGAGCCACTGAAAAAAAACACATTTTTCTAAATTACTACAATCGCTGCATTACAGCAAATTGAAATCAGCACCATAACCACTACAGGTTGCTGTAATGGTTTTAAAGCCAGGAGTGCTGTGGCACCACTCCAGTAAGACCAAACATTCTCTGTATTAAGTTAGTCTGGTGGTGCAGCCCCTGCATAGCAGAGTTTAGTTCCGGAGAGCTTTCTTGCTCCCAGTGAAGGAAGTGAGCAGCGACTCGTGGACCTCAGGTAAGTTGTCAAACCATTTACAAACAGTTTGACTACTTACATAAGTGGGGGCGCAACTGCTATCATAACCACTACAGTATGCTGTAGCACATAAAGTAAACAAAATATTTTCATGGTAAAACCAGCATGGAGCCTCTGATTTGAGTGCAGAGCAAGGTGTTTGGAATTGCTACTTTAGGTATTACAAGGAAATATCAGTACTTAAAAGGTAAAAAGATGAAAGAATTGCACTGTGGACATTCTGATAGTTAGACTGTCCAGCGAGTGCCCTGTAAATCATTAAACAGAGAGGTAATAAATGAAGTTGAAAATTGAAAATTCCAGTAAATGAAGTCATCCAGTTAATGTTGGTCTGCTTCTTTCTGATTCTTACAGTTTTAATCACAAATGTACTCCAGTTTATCAATTACGGTCAACTTCCTCTAATGCGGAGGAGACTTGACTCTGGAAACACAAAAAAATGCAATATGATGTGTGTATTCGTTTCATCTCGGCAATCCTGACAAGATTGTGAAGCTGCTAAATTTATATTTAGTCTATGTGCAACATTAAACCCCATAGCTATGTATTATATTCTGTAGGTTTGGAAGAATCTTCCTCTATTGCCATTTACATAATAAATGCAGCATATAAGCATTCACGCACACACACGCCAGTGCTCAGAATTTCCACTAGCTCACTAGCCATTGGTGAGTGGGAATTTGAAATCATGTACTGCGCAATTAGAATTTTATCTAAACACTGTAAGAGCGAACGTCGTTGCAAAAATGAAGCTAAAATACATTACATTCACAGACATTTCACAGTTATACGATCTTCAAGTTCACACTGAGACTAATAGCATACCACCCGAATGTCCCTATTTTAGAGGGGCAGTCCCTATTTTTAGCCCAGATCCATCAGTCTTTCTTTTCTATCCTCCATATTGTTGGTGTCTCAGAGTTCCACACTAGGATATTCACACTAATGTGTCTTTAAACTACAATGTATAGAAATTAGTCTGTGTAAATATTTTTTTTTTTCTTGTTCTATATTACATTTTAGTTGCATAAATAGTTATTAGTAAACCACTTTAAATGACTCAAAACTGCTTCTGTTCCTGGTCACACACCCTGCTCACACACCTAACAGTGTCCATATTTGTCCTTATGGACTAGTCTGGTTACAATTCCATGTCTGTTAGTCCACCCATTGTACAGCGCTACGGAATCTGATGGCGCTATATAAATAATAAAATAATAATAATAATTTAGAGGTATGACATGCTGTAAATTTAGAAATCTTTAGTATTGTAAAGGGAAGACTGATGGAAGCAACTCCATTGTCTCGTACATTAACCTATTCAGTCTACCAGTTAAAAAACAATAAATGATTTCTGGGAAATCTTATGGGAAAACCACAGAACCAGCAGCAACAAGAAACAGATACACAACAGAAAGAAGACAAAAAAACAAACATCCAACTATTTCTTATAGATATCACAAGAAAAAACAAACAAACACAAGCACAAACTGAAAGCCTTCACTAGGGACTGTCCCTAAAAATCCATCAGAGTTGGCAGGGATGCCAGGGAGCCTGCACAGTAAATTAAAATGAACTGAAGCAGAAAGCATTGCTTATGTAAAGCTTGAAGATATGTACCTGTTTTATGAGGTCAGGATGGGCTGGTAGGGTGATGTGATGGAAAGTCACATACTACCACGAACTAGGAAGCTTTGATAAGACACAAGCCCATCCCTCTACACCCACTGAGAGCCAGGAAGGTTGGCACTTTTTTGGCAGTTATTCATGTTGCTGATCAAATCTTAAGTGGCTGGTATTTCTAGTTTGTCTCTGTCTGTCCAGATACTAAAAATTCATAGTGAGATAACATGTAGATCAATTTCTCTCCAGTCTTGGCAACAGAGATAAATAGTTGGGAGTTTGCCAAATAGTTGTTCTTATAAGAGCTATTATCAGCCATCAGTCTGGCCTGATGAATTGCACTGGACATATTGCATTCATCACATATTCAGAGTTACAAGCAAGCACAGCACATCTCTCAAAGTACATTAAAATCACTCCTGCTTATTAGAACATTCTGAGGGTTTAGTTGCATCCTGGAATGAAAAAAAAAAAGTTAAAGTACAGAAAGAAGCATCAGAGGCAGATGAATTCCACCCACATGATTTAATACAGGAAAGTGAGCACATGTTCTTGAACCAACACCATGTTCACATCATTTTCATGGAATTTAAAACTACAGAACTGAAATTGATTAATAAGAAAGAAATGGGGGGGGAAGGAAAAAAAAACAAGCAAATTCAGAAGAAATAACCACATCTGATTAGGTCCGATTGGGAATCCAGAGAGTTAAAATAATCCGCGTAGGATTACAGAAG